CTCGCAAAAGCGAGCAGGTCCCGGTGACACCACTTGGAGGAACGGAAGTCACCACCAGCTGTTTCCAGCCTATTTAGCCATTTTCTCCCTAATTTTCGCTGTTTTCGGCTGCTTTAGGATTTTCGGAAGGTTAGTTGTTCCTTGTCTTCACAAGGTAAATTAACTGAGATTTCTCTAATTTCTGTGAACAATTGAATAATTAAACAAACAATTAAACAAATACCCAAAAAATCGCAAAAACACTTTATTATAAAAACAAAGAAAGAATTCCACGTTCTCAAATGCTTCATAAAGACCAAAAACAACTCACACATAAAACAACTCACTCAAAAAATTAAATAAATTAAAATTAATAATACAGTGAAAATTAGGGAGAAAATGGCTAAATAGGCTGGAAACAGCTGATCGCCGCGGTCGTGACGCGCCGCAGCCGCGTCTGCGACCCTTTGACCGCCTAATCAACTGCCCGGATGACGACTGTATGATCTCTGCAGGTATTGATCGGTGAAGATGTACGGTCAGACATGCGGCTTTTTCTTTCCACATTTTTCAGTCCTGCATAGAATGGAAATCGAAATCAATAGGTATCTACTGTATATGGTAGTCCTCACGGTCCTTCGCTTCCATGACCCTACTCCACCGATATGGCAGAAGTTCCGTTTCGGCAAAGTAAGGATTCATCACAGTAGCAAGGTTTTGTAACCGAGGGCCTGAATTGTTCCAGCCCTGAATGGTTGATGCAACCGAGTCTCATTAGGATGTGCTAGTCTCCGGATCTTCTTTGAACGAGTCGAGAATGGCAGAGCCCTGAACATAACACTGGTGGACACTACATAACAGATCTCGGAAGTATGGTAAACCAGCCATTGAAACAATATTTTTGAAATTGATGATGACATACAGTCTTTGTTGTTTCCAGCTGTTTCACCTTATCACCTCGCTCTCACCATTAGAATGTCATCAGGGATTTTTAGAAAGGGAATTTGGGCGTTGCGGTGGCCAGTGGGCGGAGTCGTGGCTTCGATGCGAGCGGTCCGCATTTTTACGAGGCCAAGGTGGTATATCCTCTGGGTGCCTTCGAATAGGACCGCCGTGTCCATAGATAGTGTGTGGGTACTAAATTATAGCTTGCCTTTAACAGCTGGTTCAATATTGAGATGCAGTCAGTAAGGTATGCAGCATGTTTACACACATGCTCACAGGGGTGATCAGTCATTAAACATAATTAGGTTAACAGCCGATTTCTGATTTTTTTGCTGATGGAACAGGAACTGATAGACTTTCAATTGTGTCAAGAGTTATTTGCAGCGGTTCTTCGAATTTTATTGATCAATAAAATTATTATTCAGAATGACTGAGACTTGAAGCTTATTGTTTGGAGCGTTGTGGTGACATCAAGAGCACGTCAAGCTTAAGCTCTGCCTCTGTTGTTTCCAGGGACGCCAACTCCTTTACCAATCCCTGTAGATGAATATTTAGTTGCTCTTCGCAATAAAATGTTTACAAATTATCCCAGTATAATACAGAACAAACGCGTTTGAAGCCATTGCAATCAATTCTGGCTCAGGTACCTCCATGGAATCACCTCCTCTTGGGCCCTTAGGACCGGGTGGGCGGCCATGAGGCTTGGGCGCAAACTGACCGACGATGAACATCGGTTAGGACTTGCGAAATCAAGGCCTTTGTAGAACCTAGAATGCAAAAATCACTATAAGGACACACAATCCAGATGTGGTGAACTTTCGCCGAATGAAACCCGCTCCTTCTCACTCTCCCTCCCCCCTTGAATTTTCATTTTCGATAGCACCTCCACCAAGAACAATAATGATAATTAGCGGTGAGCGAAGGAAAACGATAGAAAGATGGCGCCGTTTGCCTTGGGGGCATTTTGCACTTCCGCATTTCCCATTGTCTTGGTTACTGTATTAAAAGAGTTGGCAGGCATTCTTCACGAGAGCTGACGGATGTCTACTGCAGACTTTGACTGGTATCATCTCATGGCTTCAAAAGATTCCACAGATCTCTACTTGAAGGACCGACACGCCGATGGGGAGTAGTGGAAGTGCAACTCACCCCTGCTCGCCACCGCCTCACAAAGCCTAAACTGCGCCAACAGGATTGTGGATCAGTTGTAAGGCAATAGTCCCAAATTGCCGTATCGCTGAGCTTGGAAAATATGTAGAAGCGCCTAGAGCTGGAAAAATCACCGCCAAAAGGAATTTTCGGGAACAGAGACGACCGCTCCCTCTCTCCGGGCACCAAACACTAGCCCCTTTTCCATCAGAGTTCCCTGGTATGTCCTGCCCTCCAGTATGCCTCCATAGCAGGGTCAAAAAAATGTGGTGAGGATAGCTCACCTTAGGGTTTTCTGCACTCAGAGCCTTGATAGCATCCTTGATTTCATTTGCGGTCTGATCTTCGTTCTCCACTATGGCTGAGAGTTTTTCCAGTGCAGCTGGCAGAGCAGTGATAAGTTCAGTAACATTCTTCTTGATCTCTTTATTGAGATTCAGTTCCAGTTTGGTGTTGGAACTCTGGAGCGCTGAGGGCCTGCGGCAAAAAAATGATATGCCTTGAGTGAAGTTGTTCAGTAGCAGCTCAAATACAGCCTCATCAGCGCCAACAATTTCACGTACTTCAACTCCGTATTTCTGTGCCCAGGTCAGAATTTCTCCTTCTGTTCGGCAATGTGTCCTTCTTTGTCGTCAGAATACGCAAAGAAGACTCTTTCCTGGCTTCTTCGCTGACATCTGAGAAAAAAAAAAGGTGGTAGTGGTGGTCCACGTCCACCTGGGCCACCTTTGCCTCCTTTACCACCAGGGCCACCTTTGCCGCCTGGGTGACACAATGCCACGCCAACAATTGCAAGAACGAAGACGATCGTATTCATTCTAAATGAGGCTGACAAAATGAAAGAAATTTGGCACTTGATTAAAAATAAAAGCAACTGGGTGGACTGAAAGCGGGACAATTGATCTGGTATGAAGACACACTAGGCGGCACAGCTTATATCCCTCCCGGTTGATGCTGATCTGTGGTTTATCGTCATGAGTCATGCGCAAAGCAGACGAGAAGTGCCATCCCGTCGCATTGATACCAAAAATTATTTCGAGGGCGTTGAAATGAATGGCTTGGTTGGTTTGTTCAGGACATAGACGAAAAACGGCCAGCTGTGCAAAACTTTAGAATCACCCCCGAATCAAGCGGAAAAAGCGCGCTCTAAGTTTCAGAAGGCAAAAAGTTGAAGAGGGAAGAATCTGACTGGTCCACCACCTTTCCCTATTTGCCTAATCTTTAAAGCACTTGGCATATGATAATTTGGTACTCTGCTGCTAACAGGACGCCTAGAGTGGGGAAAATGGTGAAAAAAACGAAGTGAAACGATCAAAAACCTGCGAAGAAAAGCCCTCGTTTATAATAGCTCAAAAAGATTCCGGACGAGTTTCCCGTAGGCATCTTGCCAATAAGCGCTACGTAGGTGCAGCTGCACCTGTGTACCGATATATCCATGCAGCATCGCAGCCGCTTCACACCAGTCCCTTCTCCTCATATTTTACTCAGAGCAATGAAGCAATACGAGCACCAGGTAGTCCAGTTGTAGGGGGCGGGCGTGGTGGGCGTTCGGGTCGGTATGTTGTAGGTGATTTGATGGGGCTTTTATAGAGGTACCTTCTAGAAAAGGTGCTATGTATACGCCTGCTCAGTGGTAGCCGAATTCCGTCCTGCCGGGAATATTAAACCTGCCCGTCTTAAGTTATTGATCTATCGTGCCAACTGCCTTTAACTAGCCGCTAAGTTAGAAAGTGGAAAGAACCGTGCCAAAAAGCTGAAACCATCTTCTTTTTCATACAATAGCAATTAACTGCCATGTGATACGAAACTGGACAGTTTCGCAAAATGGACACAAGTTTACACAGCGTTGGGTCAACTAACGATGGGTCACGTTTCAGACGTCATGCCTATCTTTCAGCTTTATTTTGCCGAGAAGGCAAGTGTACCGCCAAAACTCATGTTCTCATGCGCTTTTATTGCCTCATACAGCCCGAGCCAGCAACCTTCCCTATCTTTCCTACACCTTTAGGGCAGTGGAGGTCTTCCATCTAGACCTCCACTGCCGTCATGCTTTCCTCACAAGGAAACTCTTTCTTTGAGAGTTGATGAAGGTATTCTTTCGTTCTTCCTTGACTTTGCAAAAGTGGTATGCATGACGTATACCAGGCTAATCAACAAATAATTGTCAATCATGCTCTGAACAAACCAATCTATCGCTCTAGTTCTAGGTGCCAATGTGACGGGATGGCACCACTAGCCGACTGATTGTGTGTGACTCACAAGCGATCAAACTACAGATCAGCATCCCTCGGGAAGGATAAAAGGCGTTGCTAGAGGATCACTGGAGGTCGACTTTCCCTGCCTTTGTAGCAGAGTTCATGACTTCTCCGTTTTCAAAAGTTCTGCAATCGTCAATGGTTGCGTTTTTACTTCTGCTGCGAGATGTTAAGGTTGCAACCTCTGGTTGGATTCGCGCCCTATCCATCTTTCTCAAAGACCTTAAGTTGGCTCAAGGCAAAACAGTTGCGCACTTTCTTACTGACCGACTCATCCCTTTGAGAACCGTACACTCACCTCTGGGGAGTCTTTTCATGTACGAGATGCATACGTCCTCAGGAGCAGGAGTCGTTCCCTGGGCCCTCAAAACTGTTCGGGATCAGGCTGGAGGGTAGCGTCTCTCGAAGTGACATCTCAGCACTGCGTGCGCTATCTTCAATGCTCTGCACTTGCGCCTTCTCCAAGGCCGTGCCAGGCGAAAACGCACTCAACAAGGGAGGTCGTTCAGGGCGTGGTGAGCTTTTTCAAAATGGTCTTGTGCATATTGTAGGGGCACATACGAGGACCAGAAAACTGAGGTTCATTTTCGCTGCGCGCTTTACG